AATTATCTTGCTGCATTACTCACTTTGCATTGTTGGATTTACATGATCCAATTTTAATCCATCGTGTTTCTATTGTATCTTTACTTCTTCGACACTTAGATCACGTACCGGATGAGGAAGATTCCATGCCTTACAAAAATAAAAATAGTGCCCGAGCGCAGGTTAGGGTGGGGCAGAACAAATGTTTTCACGTTTGTCGAAGCCATTAGAATTCGTCTAGTTTTAGAGAAAATGCCTGAAATTCCTAGAAATTCACTTTTGCGCTGTAACCCAAGGGCACTCATCACAATGTGGCATAGTGGCTAACTTACCGAGATTACATCCTACACTGCCACGATTGGTGTCCCTCTGGGGATGTTTCTAAGACCTAGGCGAGGTCGAAACTGATCCACCCTGGATGAGAACATCTTTTTGGAAAGCAAGGCTATGTTGAAATCAATGGAAGAGTCAGCTCTGCCCATATCACTGTGTAAAAATGCAACTACCAGTCTTTCACCACTTTAAGACGAAATAGGGTGGATACATCTCATAGAATAAAAAAATGTTTAAAGAGAGTCTGTATAGAATATGATTGTGTTTGACAGGAATCTGGCAAGTAGCCTCCTTGTTTCTGGTGGTAATAAATAAATAACAAATAAATATACTTTTAACTGCCTATGATTAGGACTTCATACATTTGATAGCTTAGCCTGTTAAAGCATCCATAAATAGGCGTCAATGTTTATCTATGTTTGTTGAATCATTTTGAGTATATGATCAAGATATTACTTATTCCGCGCATTTTAATTTCACCTATAGTTTGCATTGGATTCTTTATTGGCTTCTTTCTAATTTAATTGTTTATTATAATTCTCACTTGAAGTCATTAGTCTTCTTGTTTTACTTGCCTCATACCCCAGTCCGTTTGTGCTTTAGCGGTTACAGCCTTCATACTAGTGAGCCTTTTAACTTGCCCTTATACATTCCCAGGAAAACTTTTGAGTCAGTTTGAATTATCTTGTCTGTGCTGTTCACATCGAGTATTCAGCTCCACTTATTCCTCACAAGAACTTTATTTCCTTATCTAATACACATTATTCCTACATATAGTTGCGCCATGAAATCTCTGTAATTCGAAAGTTAAATTGCAATTTATCTCTGGCTCCTGTTTAAGCCTAATGTTGTATTTCTTTGTTCAAGCTAGACTGAAATTTTCGCTGTTTATTAATGAATATAACTCATATTTTTCGTGTTTCTTTCTAATCAATCTATGAGAAGCTGGACTTAATAATCATTTGAAAATTATATATTGCTATAATTATTTACCTCTTGCTCATATACGTTATTTTATGGACTTGTTATTTATTTCCCTTAATAAACAATGTTTCTTCTACTTTTGTTTAAATATGTGCCCCCACTCAAACTTGCTTTGAAACCTCTTTTGAAGTATAATTTAATGTAATTTACGCAAATACTCATTTCAAAACCTCATGTTTTCCTCCTTCCAAAATATTTAGGATCTGCCTCTAAGTCCTAAATACTACCAGAGGCTTAATCCAGATGCCCTACTGGCCACGGTAAGTGAGTATCTGGCGTTGGCACCTCATCAACCTGATTGCAGGCTAGCAGCCTCAACTGACCTACCTAATCCTTCTGCTGCTATGCCAGGTGCTGGGCAGCGCTCTGATTGTCTCGAAGTGGCACTGCATCGTTGCTTAGACGTCGTAAGCGAGTTTATCACGGTGTCACATGTTGCACCAGGTCTTCTGCCAGGACTTTACACTCTTGCTCGCCTATACTATCTGGTAGGCGAAGCAACCAGCGCTCTTGATGCATGCAAGGCCTGTCTTGAGCTGGATGCAAATTTTATAGAGGCCCATCTCCTAATGGCAGAGGTAGGAATATTTAAATGCCAAACGACTTTTGGTAAAGTTAAAATGAGATATGTAATCAAATAAATTCAGTTAAAAGTACTATTTTTCTAAAGGTTTAGGGAATTTAACTTTATTCTTCAATCGAGGTTTAGATAATAAATGAGTTCTGATACCTCTTAGAACGGCGATGAGATATGGACTAGTCAAAAAGTTAAGCTTTTCTTGGCTTATCAACAATTTGCGAAAAACAACTTGCAATATAGTAATTTTATATAGGCTTTTCTATAAGTTACTTATGCATAGTTAAGTTGTATAGCTATTAAATCTCATATCATTGATAATCTGCCTTGGCATTTTTTCCTGGGAGCTATCGTGAAGTTTGTGTCAAGCTGCTTTTTATTGAAAGGCATTTCTACCGCATTTTTCTATCATTATAATCAATATATGAAGTGTGTTTATCCTATTTCGTTTTAAGTTATGAAGGACTAGCAGTTGAATTTTACCACAATAATATGATTGTACCATAAGTTTTCATTATATTTCACACAGCCTTGCTTTTCCAAAAGGTATTATCATCCGGAGTGGACTTCAGTTCCGACCACACCCAGGTCTCATCAACATCATCAGTAGGACTCGAAGCATGACAGTCCAGCGTATAATCTCGACATGTTTTAAGTAATGGAGAACTGGTAGTTTAATTTTTACACATTTATATTGGTAGACATTATGTCTCCATTGAATTCCATATAGCTTTGCTTCTTAAAAGTTATTCTCTTCCAGGGTGGACTGCAGTTTCCCATTATCTTTGTGAGAAGGACTATCAGTCCTTCATCATCTTAAACGAAATAAGGTGAACACATCTCATATTTGCTCAACTGGCACTCTCGTTGCAGTTCTTATAAACGAAAAAATAAGTATTATAGTCTATTTCTATTGCGAGTTAAACTTTGCTTCATCGACAATCCCACTACAGAATGTGATATGGAAAAATATCTGGCCTTCTTTGCTATTCACATCTGCTTAGGGTATTGATAAGACCTAGATGAGGTTGAAACTGCAATAGCATTGTGGGAAAATTCAACTGCCAGTCCTTCATCATCTTAAATAAAATAGGGTGTAAGAAGCTAAATGGGGTGAACACATTTCATATATATCTGATTTAATGGTAATCTCTAAGCCCTACTTATAAACGAAATATTATGATTAATAGTTAAATATAGGTTTTAATGAAAATGGGATATTGCGAACTTTTGTTTGTTTATTTTTAGTATATTCTGATATATGAACCATAATTTTTGTGAAACTACTTTTCAGCACCCTGGTTTTTGAAGAGAGATTCTCACATATGATTAGCTTTTTCATCTATTTTTATCCCACTTAAAATTGTTTTGGAATGCTATCACACAAATTAGACGAATTTAGACCCCGGGTCTTGATATGACAGAGGTCTGAAGAATGTTGTGTTTGAAATCATATAGATATACTTTGGTCTCCAAAGCTAGTTTATTGTATGTGTTTTTGCAATGAAGGCGAGCCAGCTGGGGATAGAGGAGCGAGAGGCCTGGAACAGGACAACCCACACGGTTTGCTAGAGTACTGTAGCCAACATGGGCGACACCAATGAATGGGGCGCTGCGAAGATCCAAATATGATTGGTGGAGTTTATTTGATGTCGGCCCTGCAGCAAATTCCCATTGCTTCTGTAGATGAGAACACAACAAAGCAGTTGTTGAGATACTTTGCTTTGGACGTAGTCAATGGCCGAGTGCGGTCCCTCTTTGACGGAGTTTTGACCGATTTTCTCCATTAAATATGCAGAAGAGAGGAGTGGCGTATGAGGGTGTGACACACAGCTAGAGAGGCTAGAGGTTGTATAAAAGGAGAGCCTCTGGACTTTCAATGTGCATAACCCGAATAACAGGTGAAGTAGGGTAGAGTATGGCAGGCAACGGCTGTGTGTAAATAAGACGAACAATAGAGGCGAATGAGGGCGAGAGTAGACTTCCTAAATGGCTACAAGGCCATCAAGAATTAGTTGAGTCCAGAGTTTTTTCTGTTTAGCATTTTTATGATTTGAATGTCGAATTCCGATTGATTCGAAATGTCCTCATCTGATTGGTCAAAAGGTGGGCTCGATGCAGTTTCAAGGTTTGATTGGCTGGTGCGGAAACAGAGTTAGAATATTAGAATGGGGTCTTTGCGTACCATGCGTGTTGGAAAATAGCTAGCGTGATGCCACAAAAGAAAAGTGTAAAGATTAAGTGTAGGGATAGGCTAGTACAATTTACTGTTGTGCTATTGGAGCTCCCTTGTGTGATTGATAGAAGAATAAGAAAAATAATAGAGTAATTGGTTGCATTATATTTTACGTATATAGAAAAACTGGATTTCTAAGAATCAATTAATAGATTCAAGTTAGAGTAACTTTCATTTCGTTTGAGGAGGCGAGTGGAAGGGAGTAGTAAGTTGGTTCCACCGGAAGATGGGGGGAGGGTTGCCTTTGAGCTGCGGTTTTAGATTTGTTTGAATAGGTCCTCGGGGCACCGCTATACGACTTCGATGAATCCTTGCTGCGCATTCGTCAGTCATGTGAGGGGCATCGTCAGAACGATAATTCATCAAAAACATAAATACAAGAAAGGTGGCAGGTTTCGAATCTACTTCATTTTATAGATAATCTGGTCCACTTATGTATATCATGTTTTGCTTGGATATCCCATGCTTTGCCTCTACATTTGCTCATAAGTTAAGTTAAGTAGGTGCAGATTATGCGTGAAATGGGCGCAATTGAAACCAAATAGCTGCATTATCCCTCCAAATACTGATATGCCTTTGATCCTGCAATTTTACCGCATGCGATTGCGTCCCATTGTACACGTGTTGTGTGAGTGCATTGCTCTTGAAATGAGTGTGATGTGAGAATCAAAACCAACTTCCAATTTAATAGAACTTCCTACTCTTGCTCGGTGGTACTTCTAGTCCTTTCCCTCTCTCTCTCTCTCTAAACCTACCCAACATCCACAAGTAGTTTCCGCTTAACTTCCTACACTCATTCCTTCTATTAACGGTGTTGGCTGTTTTGTTGATTTCTATCGCCTCCCAAATCATTCGCTTACTGGTTGGTATAGTCTCTATTTCGAGCTAAGTGTTTGGCATTAGATCAGTCTATCTGGTGTCCTTAGAGAGCCATGTGTTAAGCCAATTCCGATTTTTGGA